CAATCTCCAAATGTCTTAGCTCATAAGTAAACCAATTATGCTTTATTGGTATAGTTCTACTCGTGACCATAAATTTTTTGAGTAGACATTCATCGAAGTGTAACGTGATAACTTCTTTAGCATATAAGGAATGACATGTCCTATCTCGGTCATCCACCTATTTTCATTAAATTCCTAATGCATCCAACGAATTGTCCACATGCAACTCTATGTTAAATCCATCGAAATAAGTGTCAAAGTACATCAATCTTCTAATGAGATAATCATGATGATTTCAAGTCAAAAGATCAGTTATATTCATCTTATATGAGATTCCCATAGACAATACCAAAGTGAGTCATGTCCAAGTGATATGTTCTTTAACATTATTCACATGAGTGCTTGATTTAACATCATTATACTAATAGGTATAAGATATCTTACTCGTTATCTTATAGAATGAACATAACACTCATAAGTCTTATCGTATGTTGTCAATATCCATTCTTGATAATGCTACAACTTAGGATATTTAGTGATATCATTTAAATACAATAATGTTTGCCTCGTATCTATTGATCAACCATAAATACAATACATATCATATGCATTTCTATCTAATTCTATCAAATTATAAATAACAAGAATTAATAGAAAAAAATTCTTTATTAATATTGAAATGCAATGAAATAATACACCAAACCATCCAAACAAGTTGGATCTACGGTATTTACACTAACAATCTTCCACATACACTAAAGTCAACTAGCTATATCTCTTGTCTTTTATGACAGACCTTTCGATACTAATCTAGATTTATATATATCTACATTGTCATCCATATCAGTCTTTCTCTTAAAGACCCACTTACACCCAATAGGTCCGACACCTTTAGGTGGATCAATCAAAGTCCATACTTGATTAGTATACATGGATTCCATTTCGGATTACATGGCTTCATGCTATTTCTTGAAGTTAATGTCTAATGTTATTTCTTCATAGGTATTAGGTTTGTCATCCTTTATAGGATACATATCATCATATATAAAGACAAGAAGATCCTATCTTTTTAGCTTTTGATGAATCCGTTTACATCTATGAATTTTTTATGTATCAATTTATGGGATAGTTATAACATTTAATAACCAATCTACTTGGGTTCCACTAGTGGAGTGTCAATTTGTGAGTCTTCTCGAATTTCATCGAGTTTAACTTTCCTCCCACTTGGTTTTAGCATCTATAAATTCCTTGCCATGGAATACAACATCCCTAGCCATGAATATCTTTTGTTCTTATGGTGGGTAAAAGTAATATCTATTTGTTTATTTTAGATATCCCATAAATTTGCTCTTTATTGATTTGATCTCAAGATTGTTTTTGTCTATATAATTTGACATATGTTTCACGACCTCAAATCTTAAGGAAAGATAAATTTTCTTTCTTTCTTTCTTTTTCATATCTCATATAGAGTATGATCAACGGACTTTGTTGAAACTCTATTCAAAATAAAGATTACGAGTAAGAAGTGCATATTCTCAAAACGATATGGGAATATCGGTATGACTCATCATGGACTGGACCATGTCTAACATGGTCCTATTTCTTCTTTCGGACACAACATTCATTTGAGGTGTTCCGGATGGAGTACATTGAGAGAGAATCTCATTCTTTTTTAGGTGATCTAAAAAGTCACTACTCAAGTATTCACTTCCTTGATTATATCAAAATGCCTTAATACTTTTGTTAGTTTGTTTTTCAACTTTAAATATAAATTCTTTAAATTTTTTAAATACTTCGATTTGTGTCTCATTAATAAACATAATGAAAATGTGATCCATCATCGATAAAGGATATGAAATAATTATGTCCTCCTCTTGCTTGGATGGATATGGGCCTACATATATCACTATGAATCCCAATGTAAAAAACAAACTCCTCTATATATATCTTTACAAAATATGCAAAAGTAGGGTTTTGACACAAACATAATCGCCTCACATGGACACCTAACAAGGCATATGATTTGCTTTTGGAAGACACACAGCTTACTTTTGGAAGACAAACGACCGTTTCGCATTTGCACTCCATCTCTTATCCCTAGCTCCTTCCCATGTGTTTTTATTACTTCATCTCATGTCTTTAGCTCTTGCCCATATGTTTTTGTTATTTCATCTTATGTCTTTAGCTTTCACCTATATGTCTTTGCCGCTTCATCACACACACGACCTAAAGCTAATTAAGCTTATGGATCTTTAATAATTAGTTTGAATGGAGTTGATACATGGTAAATTAGAGTTTTTTTCCTTCTAAAAGGTTATAACCTTAGTTCGTATCTTTCCAAAGCATTTAGTCTTATATCAATTGGAGATCCACAACTTCGGTTATGAACTAAATACCACAACCAACTTAACTTGTCCACTAAGCCTTAGGATTCCACTTTGTAGCTGAATTTCTCTATTAGACAGATCTAATTTAGACTTAAGACCTCATAAGAATGGTAGGTATGCCTCTTAGGTATTCCATGGGCTTGGCCTAGCATCAATTGAAATTACGAAACTCTAGATATGAATTAAACTGCGTAACTAAGCTAGACTCCAAATAGGATTCGGATAAGTTTTCTAGACCATAATATCAAATATTGTTTGGAGACCCAAATAAACTTGGATTTTGACCCACTATATCATTCTAAAAAGCTTGAGATGTCCTCTATAAGGTCTCTAAAGACCACTTCTTACAAATCCAACTCTAAGGCTTCAAAAAACTACAAGAAGTTCGGAATGTCTAAGTTAATCATGCTAGAATTCTCTAACTTTTAAGCATAATTATTCTAAAATTCTAGTTTATATCTTCCAAATGAATATAAGCATATATTACCATAATAAGGCATAAAACATAACAAATAAACTAAATATAGAGAGAATTAAGATATGATATAATGTTTCTATCAAGGACATGTCATATGTGAGACTCCAATAGAAAGATTCAACCAAAACAATTTAAAGAGTATGAGGCTTAAATCAAAATAATTTAGAGAGTGTAAAGACCAAATTATTTTTTTCATAATTCTTATTTATTAAAAATTCATCCTAAATGTATGAAATACGTCATATATGATATTACATCACAATAAAACTCGTAAGTATTTTTTTAAATTATTATAATAAGTTAAAAATAATAAAATAATACGTTTAAAAAAGGAACCTACCATGAAATTTTTAAAATAAAATGTGTGTGTGTGTGTGTGAGTGAGAGAGAGAATATTTGAATAATTCAAAGTAAAATATGGAGTTGCTAGCTATCTAAAAAAAAAAAAAAGAAAACTTGGGACTTGGATCGTAATATGTACAATTAGCCATTAGTAAGAATTACTATTGTTTTTATTTGAATTTTGATGAATATATTTATACTCTACTTTTCTTTCTTAATTAAATATTAGATTTTTTTACATGTATTTTATTATTTTAGAATTATTATAATATTTTTTTAAAGAAATACTTTTTAGAGTTTTATTATGATAGAGTTTCACATATGATATGTTTTACAACATTTAAGGTAAGATCTTAAAAACACAATAATTTATAAATTAAAATAATAATAATAATAATTTGATTCGTATATTATTTGAATTGTTTTGATTAAAATCTCATGCTCTTTGAATTGTTTTGATTGAATTCTTCTATTAAGATCATACGTATGACATGTATCAAACATTCAAAAGTGAACATGTTGCATTAGTCCTATGTCAATTCATAATTAACAACGTTATGACGAAAGAAAAAAAAATGAAGAACGGAAGAATTCAATTATCACAAAAAAAATATAAAATTTTAATTAAAATAATTCGAAAATTAGAAGCAAGATCATACGTATGACATGTATCAAACATTCGAAAGTGAACGTATTGCATTTGTCCTATGTCAATTCATAATTAACAACGTTATGACGAAGGAAAAAAACAAATGAAGAACGAGAAGAATTCAATTATCACGAAAAAGAATATAGAATTTTAATTAAAACAATTCGAAAAGTAGAAGCAACATAAATAAACAAAACCCAATAAATAATATAATTGATATCAAATTACTCAATATTTACTTTGGTCGGATTGTAACCACGTCTAATTCTTTTCGGTCGGATGGGTTCCTTTTTCTTTTTTTCAAGATTTTATCCGATTTGATAGATAATAGTAATAATGGTGACTTTTCCCGCATAAAGCTTACGGCACACGTACGCTTGATTTTGTGTGGCCACCACATGTGTTTATGATCACTGTTCAAGTGTTCATTGACAACTCTTAACAGCTAATTAATTACAGCAAATAAGAAAAAAAATTGTAATTTAAGTCTTCAATTTTGTTTTTGAGTGTCTAATTAATAAATTCTTTATTGAAGTGTTTAAATTTTAATTTCTTTTTGTTCGAGGCTGGTAATAATTTAAAATTTAAAGTATTAATGTATCCATGTTTTTTTCCTCTCTCAAAGAGGACCACATTTTGTTATTAATGAGTAAATTATAAATTAGTCATTCTCATTTCGAAAAATGAATGAATTAATTATTTTGATTTTAAAAAACTAACTATTTAGTTCTTTTTTACTATTTTTTAATTTATTTTGATTTTTTATTTAAAAAAATAAAAAAAGTAAAAATATGAAAAAAATTGACAAGTAATAAGAAATTTTATAAAATAAAAATATTAAATCAATTATGGTCAGCATTGGTTAAAAAAAAAGCAAATAATAAAATTTTGAAACTAGAGGAACTAATTAATTTATTTTCCAAAATAATAGGGACTAATTTATAATTTACTCTGTTATTGATGTATGTAGAATGAAAACCAACAAACACTCGCTTTTCTCGTTATGCCCCTTTTTACCCTGTCTACATATTTGACAAAATATAGAATAGAATGAAACATAAAATACTACGTACTACCAGCATATATATATCAAGTTAGAGATCATGTGCAAATAAAGCTAAAACCCTAACCCTACCCTAACACTGACCCTACAGACCAGAGAGGCCTAAAACTTGAGAGTGATCTCACTTCCATTACTCTCTTCACCATCTTCTCTCAGAGCAGCCAGCCCTTTTCTTTCTTCACCATCATTCTCGCCGCTCTCCCCCTTCCAGCTACTGCTCTCTGACTTGCCATCTTCAATGCTCTCAGACCTGTCCCTAGTGCCCCTGACATCCGAATCCGGGGAGCTATGGGCCTGTGAAGCAGGCTTGTACAAGTGGAGTTGGTGGTGGAGGGTGTGGTGGTGAAGTGGTGGTGGAGGTGCCGAAGCTGCAGTGTAGAATTCTTGAGACACAGGTGGTGCCGCACAGAAGTGAGGTGGCGGAGCATGGGAAGCTGGGTGGGTGCCATAGAGGGTCGGGCCCCCACCATGAGCTGCTGTGGCGTACTCAGGTGGGACCCATATGCCACCTAGGACCACAAGTTGTGGTGCTGGGGCTCCTGCTGCTTGTGGGCTTGGACTGGGGCGCCTTGTATGAAGCCTATATTTCTGTGTCGCCAAACCAAAAAAAAAAAAAACAAAAAAAAAAAAAAAGGAAAAAGAGAGTTATATCATTTGCATCTGCAGCGTACCATTAATATATTCAAAGTACATGCATTGTGCAGTGCAGATTGCAGACTGTGTTGTGTCGGGTCAAAAGAAATTGTACAAAGCCTCTTTCATGCATGCTGCCTGAACCTCAAATAGGGAGAGAAGAGAGTACTAATATATACCTGTAGATGGCTTTTAACTTCATCATTGGTCAAACCGTCAACCTTCATGAGTTCCCTGATTTGTTTTGGGGTGGCCACTGTTTTCATGCATGACCGAAAAAAGAAATCAGTCAAATACCAGTGACAGTGACATGTAACAAACTAATTATATATATAATTATGACAATGATAAAGATGGTAATCAAGAGCCTATCATTATTAGGAATTTGATTACCTTGAGAACCACCAAGCATATGCAGAGCACTGACAAATCTGCGGTGTAAGTCAGGTGACCAACATCTCCTAGCTTTTCTATGCGTCTGAGTTGTAGAAGTATTAGTAGAAGCAGAAGCAGCATGTGCAGTGTTTGTTGCTTGGCCCTCAGATGATGAATTATTACAGTCTCCTTTTCCTTGCTCGATCACAACCCCACCATTGCCAATCTTATTGCCAGAACTTTCTCTCTTTGGACAAGAAAATCCATTCTCAGTCTCTAAACATTTTTTATGATCCAATTCCAAGTGTTTATCAGTAGAAGCAAGAGCTAGGGTTGGGCTTGGACACAAGTTTCTTTCTTTCGAGAATGGAAGGAAAGCTCCTCCATTTCTTTGTTTGGCGTCTAAGGCCAGCTTGGAACTAAAACTGAATCCCATATCGGTTTGTTTTGGAGATGTCAATGAGGTCTGAGGTTTGATTTCATTGCTGTCTTGGCTCCAAAGTTGGGCTGTTGTCATCCAGTTTGCCTTATCCGAGATGTTTGTGGTATTCTCTGGGATTTCAGATGTTGAGGTTTTGAGAGGAATGAATTCTTCAAGAACTGGTATGGTTACTGGATTTGCTCTAGATGCTTGTAGTTGCTGCCTTGAAGTCTCCACAGCTGAGTTGAAAGATGGAAATTATATGTAGTCATTGAGGAATCACCATTTCTAAGCCATGAGGGCTTACATTCTTTTAACAAACTATGCCAAAATATAACTGACCGGTAGCTTTAAAATCATAGAGACGAACTCAACAAATAAAGTAACAAAGATAGAAAACTAACTCAAATTTCGATAAATGAAAAAGGATAAAGAAAGAAACTAGAATTAAAATGCATCCATATGATCCCATGAATATATATATATAATCTTCTGTATGTACATATATATATGAATTTCATATATATAATATTGCATCCACAATTAGTTTCAGATCAGTACTTATAACCAAAGCATCAAGAACTTTCAAGAGAAGAAAGATAAGATGTATGCATATACATGTATTTGTATACCGTTGGTTAGAAGTTGCATGCAAAGGGGTAGCTCGCGTTTGAAAGCATCAATCTTTAGCCTTTCTTCCTCAAGGCGAGAAAGAAACTCTTCGAGCCTTTGGGTCTGGTCATTCTGGTCTCCAAAAGATTTCAACAGCATAGAATAGCTGTGGGGCTTGCAATCGAGGCTGAGTTCAGATGGAGATGCCATGATTATTAATTTTTCTCTTTCCAAGTACAGCAAGAAAAATCTCTCTACTCAACAAGCCTTGTCTTATCGTTAACGTTCATGCTACAATAGGAATAGGGATATGTAGAGACAAACAACAGCAAAAGAGTGTGGGTGTCTGGACTCTTGCTTTCTAGGTTTTGAGTTTTCAAGTGGGTTAGAGAGGGAGAGAGAGAGATTGTAATAAAGGGAGAGTCTGTTGTTGGTGAACACAAGGAGGATCGAGGGAGGATCGTCTTCTTTTTAGTGGGGAGTTCAAGAGGGAATAAAGTAGGGTTCAGAGAGAGAGAGAGAGAGAGAGGAGAAAGAAAAAGCTAGTTGGGGGGCTAAAGAGGGATGGTAACTTCTTGTAAAGAGCAAAGTTCGAAAAAGCTAAAAATGGGAGAGAGGTGGGTGAGGGTCTCTGAAAGGGAAGAAGGAATAAGGATTCTGACAGTAGAGGGTCATGTGCTTAGACCCTGGTTTAATAGGAATTCAAATAACCAATATAAAAGATGATTCTTCTTCTTACTGTTATCATCCTTTTCCTTTATCCCTTTCTTTCTTTCTTTCTTTCTTTGTTTTTTTTTCCTTTTCCATTTTACTATTTCCTTTTGATTTTAAGAGCCCATATATCTACGAGACAAAGATTCTTCTCCTAATTTTAAAATCAAAGTACCTGATCATAAGTAATATTGTTATGTGATCTTCAAAAGTTTCCCATGTAAAGTATACTATCATTTGGTTTAAGCTTATTAGCTAGGTGGGTTTCAATTTAACCAAGGCCCAGCAGTACTTGTGAATGCATGGTTGTATTTTTTTTTTTTTGGATCATTTGATTATTTACTGAGAAATTTTTGCATGCACTTAATTGTTGCAGTTATCAGATCATGGCTTAGAAAACCCTGCAATAGGACCCATCTCGACCTTTTCTGAGTTACTAGTAGCAATTAGAGATGTGATAAGACATTAATGCCAATTGGGTGTGGAAGGCTAAAGTTTATGACAGTAGTGCATGCACAAGAAGGTAAAAAAGAATGAATGGATGGGATTGATTCTATTGTTAGGATCATCTTGATCATGTCATGTGACACCTCCACATCATCACAACTTGTTATATGTTGGCCACGTGTCCGGCAAGTAGTACTTGACAGCGTTGTGTCTTCTTTAACATCATAGTGCTATAGATTAACGATTCTAAACCTGATTAATTTAATAGATATGCATGGGGCTTTTTGGAAGGAGAATGGCTAGCTAGCTACCCCATACACATGCTGTATTTTTTAAAATTTAATTGATTATTTACCACCTTGTTGGGGGAGAGAGAGAGAGAGAATTGAAGGACATATTCAAATGGGGTACTTCTATAACTGAGTATCAATCCACACCATGCATGCAACTTTCTTTTTGGTTTCTAAAGTTGCATAATTGTTCTAAATTTGAGTGCATTCAGCCGAGAAGAAAGAAGAGAATATCTAATCCAAAATGAAAAATTCATTCATCCTAAAAAGAATATAATATTTGCCTGTAAGGAAGGAATATCTTAGTTCGAATTCTACGACTCTAAATTAAGGGAAGGGAACACAACCCACAAAGCTTAAAGGGAAAATCCAACCCAAAAGAATAATAAAGGAGCCCTAACAGCCGGGAATCTTCTTTAGCTATACTTAACTTTAATGAAGTGGGTAGGAAGGTAAGAAGATTCTCTTTAAATGTAGAAGAATTTTTGTGGGGTTATCAACAATTCCTTAACCCTACTCGGATCCGTGTATGAATATTACCAGAGTCTTCACGATATATACTATACATTTCTTGTCGGTTCGACCAACATTAAGTATATCTTAATTAAATTCTTCCATTTTTCTTAATAATTGTTATACGATTTTCCTGACTAGACATATAAACCTTTTTTATTCAAGTTTATTAGCTACTAGCTAGCTAACCCGACCCAGATATTGCCAAAAAAAAAGAAAAGAAAAAACAAAAGAGAGATGGGCAGTAATTAAGAGATGCCTTTTCCATGAAAGATAAAGGGTAAAAGATAAAAATAGTCTGCCCAGTCTCCAGTGGGGTGTGAGAGAGGGAGTAGTACTAGCTAGTGCATCGAATTCCCTAAATTGGCAGAGAGAGAAAGGGCAATAATGATGGTTGGTGGCTTTCCAAAATCAGTCGTCTCGTACAAGACTCCAACCCACGCCTTTTGCGCAGATTCTCTTTGTGCTCTCTCTGCATAGACAGATTCTCTTTGTGACACGTGTCGCGATATTCCTCCATATCGTCCTTGTGAATATCCCTTTTGTCTGCTGTGAGAAATTTAACTAAAAAAGAAGAGAATATTCCCTTTCCCCCTTGTTTCTCTTTTTCTTTTCTTTCTTTCTTTCTTTTTTTTATTAAAATTGTTTCAAATCGACACCGAGGTGGCTTCAGCGTGAAAGTAAATTATATTCCTTCGCAACGCACGTTTCTTCATACCAGTCTCGGACTATTAATTTTTGGGATTCAAAAAATTACATTGTTTAAAAATAATATTTTCCTAAATGTGAAGGGATGTAGATGATGGTTGTCAAATGCAATCCCATCTGATTTAAAGTTAAATTTACTAACTACGTGGTCCTATTGAGCCCCCATCAACTTAGTTGATTTCATCAAATTCTAATTGAGCTAATAGTTTAATTTTTGGCTTTAGATTGTGATGAGATAGTAGGTCCTTGTTAGAATGAATGGTTGCATGGACTTTTTTCTTTGTTGATGATGCGGTGATGGTGTATCTTTTTGTTGTGATTTTGATGTTAATAATTGTAAAACAAAATCATCTTTTTGAATTTTGAAGGATTATTTGATGACTAAATTAATATACAAAACAAAGAGAGAGGCAAATATAGCATTACTTAGGCTTAGCTATGTATATCTAATGTATGTTGTCTAAGTAGACTTATCGGGTGAGTGTTTGTTTATATAGAGAAAATATAAAGTGATTGTTTAGCTTACTTTTACTTTTTTATGGTATATTGACTTAAGTGTTGGGTAGTTTTCTCTTTACCTCTTAAAGTACTTAACCCTTCTATGTGTCTAGGGTCTTTATATATATTGTTTGTTAGATCTATCTTACATGAACAATATAAGAAAATTGCGGATTAGAGTTGAAAACTAGCGACATATGCAAAACCATTGCTATTTAGCGATGATTTTGTGATAGAATGATGGCTAATATAAAATGCAAAGTTTAGAAACGAAATTACGACGGAATGTTGTCAACAAATAGAGTTTCGTCGCTAAATAGCATGAAAAAAATGTGCAACTAATGTAACGACGGATTTATGAAGGAAATTAGTGATGGAATAGTATTTCGTCGCTAATTCTCATTATTGGGTCGATGACGATTACTTTTTAAAGCAAACCCTTAGGCTCAATCGCTACTTTCTCCATTTCTAAAAATTTCAAAAAATAAAATAGTAGTTTAAAATTCAAATTAGCTACGGACACTTAAATTCCTCGCTAATAGCGATGGACTAGCGTTGAAATCATGAGTTTCCTCGCTAACTAGTGACGGAATGTATTTTGTTGTTATTTTCCATAATTTATAAAAATTTTAAAAAATAAAGTTGTAGTTTGAAATTCAAATTAGTAATAGACATTTAAATCCCTCACTAACTAGCGATATAGCATATTTTGTCGCTATTTTCCATAATTTCTAAAATTTCTAGAAAAGAAAATTGTAGTTTGAAATTTGAATTAACAATGGTTATTTAGATCACTCGCTAATTAGCATTTGAATTGTATCCATCGCTAATTTTTAATCTCTAAATTAACGAAACTTTTTTCTCCTATTTTCTTTTTCCTTTTCCCTCTTTTACTCTCCTTCTCTTCGTTGTCGTCGACTGCACGGTTCCAAAACCTCCACGTAATGCGACTCCATTGCCTTCCCGAGCATACTCCAACGAACGTAGTTAGCATTCTTCTCTCCCCAAAAAGTCGAGAGTTTCATTTGTCTCCTTCCTCTCCTCGTTTTCCCCCATTTGTTAATTCTGTCTCTTTTTTTCATACCCATTAGCTATTTATGTTAATTGTTCGGTTAATTTTAATTAATTAGTTGATTAATTAGTTAATTTGCTAGCTTTGTTAGTTGTTAGTATTTTTTTATTAGTTTAATGAATTAATCCGAATTAGTGCTAATTCGGTTAGGTTAATTTCAAATAAGGTTAATTTAAATTAGTTATTAGTTGATTAATTAGATTAATTTGCAAGCTTTGTTAGTTGTTAGTATTTTTTTATTAATTTAATGAATTAATCCGAATTAGTGCTAATTCGGTTAGGTTAATTTCAAATAAGGTTAATTTAAATTAGTTATTAGTTGATTAATTAGATTAATTGAATTAGGTAATTGCATATGTTAATTTGAATTTAAATTAAGGTTAATTTAAATTAGCTTTTAGTTGATTAATTAGGTTAATTTAAATTAGGTTTAAATGAATTATGTTAATTTCAATTTATTAATTTAATTAATCAATCCGCCTCCTCCTCCTCCTTTCGTCCTCTCCCATCCAACCCTACCCCTAATCCTAACCCTACTTCATATGCCTCTTTTGCTAACATTGTCTCTACCTCTCACTCCATAAAACCTATAGACAAAGGCAATCTTATGGATCCCGATATTGCTCCTAGGTTGTACACTTTAGTTGACAAGAGACACGTGATTAACATTTCCTTTATAGAAATTCTTCAGTCGAGACTCTTTTTACGTATACTCTCGTCGTGAAGTTTGCAAGCATCGGGCCTCTTATTAATGTCATAAGAGACCGGGTTCTTCGACATTGGGGATTAGAGACTGATCCTATAATAGGTTTACTAGGTCTTTGTCATGTTTTCATTCGGACGTTCTTCGTAGAAGATCTTGCAAAGGCTTGGTCTATTGAAATTCATGAAATACAATCTTACGCTTTTAGACTATTCAAGTGGGATCTATCATACAACCCTAATATAGAATCTTTTATGCTTGTTATATG